TCTCCCTCCAGTCCACAGGGACGGCTGCCTCCTCTAAGCTCCTTCAGCACCGGCCTCAACGGTTCCCAAACTACTCCGTGGTCTGAGGCTTGTTTTGGCCGCCAGACCAAAGCTTCTAGAATAAGGTCTGTCACACTAGGCACTCACCAAATGCTGAACAAAACTGCTCCTTATGTTTCAAAGCTCTCAAATGGTTCCCTAATCCTGAGGCTTGAAGACGCTTTAAGGAGAGTGACCTGGTGCAGATGGGTAAACTGAGGCACGGGCAAATAAAGTCCCTCAAGGGCCCACGAGCATGTGAGGGAGGGAAGGGGGGGGGAGTCCTTGCCACCATGTGCAGTTGCATAAATATTTATAGCACATCCCCAGGTTAATGCAAAGGAAAACTGAGAGGCAGGATACCCTGAGAGCTGCCAGTGAGCAGGGCCCCATCAGATGGTTCTGAGGGTTTCACTAACGGCTTCTCCCCCTCCTCCAGGATTAGCACAATAGGACCATACATCCCGGGAATCGGATCTCTCCCTGATCCTGCTAGGCCAGCCCCGGCCCCGCAAATCAGGATCAGAAATGGTCACAGGCCGGCAGGCACTTTAAGGGGACAGCAAAGGGACACCCTTTATACTGGCTGCGTGAAATCCCTCAGGAAATTAGTGCTTTGAGCTTCAAGCATCCCAGCCAAATAAAGTTCCCACACAATGGACAGGATGAGCTGCTGGTCCCCCAGGAGGAGAGGTGGTTGGCCACCCATCCACTCACCAACGTGGGCCAGAGCTCTCGCTGGCTGCCCTCCGCACCTGCGACATCAGAACGCAACCTCCCAGAAGATCCCCCTATGGCGAACCATCCGCCTTGTATGGTTCATCAAGCCCCCCAATTCTTCTTGGGGAACAAGCTCCTGTAGACCCTCCCCATCACTTTCTAACTTTCCCCCTCCTCTCCTGGGCAACTTCATCACCATAAAAAAGGACAGAAAGTATAAACAAGTGTAACCGCAAACGTTATTTCCCATTTGTTCTCCTAAAAACCTACTTGTCTTTCCTAAATAAGCCTATTTGTCCTAACCGTACAAGCCTTTTGTCAACTCTCTTTCCCCTTAGGTATATAAGTTACAAATTCAAATCACCCCTTTGAGCGACTCATCACTAAGCATCCCCACAAATACACGTATTGCACATGATGATCTTTCATCGGTTTAAATTGCAAGCCCCTGGAACTGAACCTAAGAGGATAGAGGGAAAGTTGTCTTTCCTCCCTGACATCTGGGTCACCAGCCAGAGACAGCACTACCAGGCATGAGGCTTCAGACCTCTATGCAGAGGCCATGTGAAGAGGGTTGGCTCCAAAGTGACAGAGCAGGCCTCAGACCCCAGGCCTGTGGCTTGAACAGATGCAGACAGGATAGCCAGACCTCTCACGGGGTAGTCAGGAGACTGGAGTAAATGAAGTCACATTTACAAGGAGTCTGGCTCCCAGTGCTTGCTCAATGACGGTAATGACTTACAAGGGGATGTTATTTGCAGTTGTCTGGGGACACACAGCAAGGTAAAGGCTCTGAGGGCAGGGACCCCATTTTCTACTCCTCTGAGCCCTCCACTATAGAAGCCATTTTTTGTCTGCATGCTTGGCTTCCCCACTATCTAGGAAGAGATTCTGTTCCACCTCGCCCCCATGCAAGGTGTTGGGCTCCACCTGGGGACCCAAGCCAACCCTCCAGTCATAGCAATTAGTCAAGGACAGCCACCTGATTGACCCAGGCCAGCCTTCCCTAGAAACATCGGGGGGATTCCTTTGCCTTTGTGTCCTGGGAGCAGGAAGTGTGGGGCCTGGGGTGGCCCAATGGGCCTGTTTCCTGCCATGGAGAGAAAGCCTGGCTCCTATTGGCTTATATCACCAAGAGGACAAATAGGGAGGTGAGAGAGAGAGAGAGAGAGAAAGAGAGAGAGAGAGAGAGAGCACCCTACCGGACTAACATCCACTCCCATCATGCCCAATGCCCAGCACGGGGGACGCACCTGGCTGTGAACCAATGAACGCACGACCATCAACACTGGAGAGTGAGGCCAGCTGGGAAGCAGGGCTCCGGGAAGCCTGTCCCACCCTTCCAGATCCTGCTGACCTGCTCACACTTTAGTCCAACCAACGCACATTTAAGGAGAAAGAAAGCAACAGAATGCTCACTGGAGGCACCCAGACAGGAGGCCACAGACCATGAAAGAGAGCCTCTGGTCTTCCCCAGACTCCCAACCCTCCACCACTCCCGCCCAGGCCTTCTCTCCTCACCCCTATTCCCAGGCCAGAATCTAGAAAGGGAGAGACAGTGGCGAGGCCAGCTCTTGGGGGAGGTGGGGGAGGTCCCACCACTTAGTCGCTTAGGATGGTCACACAGCCAGAATCCAGGGGTGTGTCCCCAGTGAGGTTGCTAGCCTTCTAGCTTCAGGAACAAAGACGCAGCCCGTAAGTCGGACGGGCCACCAGACTCCCTGCCATCCCCGGGAAGGGCTTTCTACCTGGGACCCTGGCCAGGCCTCAAGCCCGGAGAATAATTATAACGTGTACCTTGCTTGAAACTATGTGTCCAGGGGCGCCTGGGTGGCGCAGTCGGTTAAGCGTCCGACTTCAGCCAGGTCACGATCTCGCGGTCCGTGAGTTCAAGCCCCGCGTCGGGCTCTGGGCTGATGGCTCAGAGCCTGGAGCCTGTTTCCGATTCTGTGTCTCCCTCTCTCTCTGCCCCTCCCCTGTTCATGCTCTGTCTCTCTCTGTCCCAAAAATAAAAAATAAACGTTGGAAAAAAAAAAAAAAAGAAACTATGTGTCCAAAAGACACTTTTCACCTTATCTGAATCTGATTCCACAGAAGCTACGTTACAACTGAGAACCGGATACTTGATAACAACGCAAAGTGTCTATAGATGCACGAATCTCTTCTACCCCGTGAAAAAGCCAATTTCGTTCTGTTTGCACATTCATTTCAAAATCCCTGATCGTAAATGTTTCCATTCTTTCAGAATGGTCCTTCTTTCAGAAGGGTTCTCTTCTGAAAGGCTGGTTAACACTTGCCTGGTTCCCTCCCTGATGAGTGAGTAAACTAAAATCTTTCACACTTGCCCGCTTTTATTTCTGTATGAGCGTCAGGATTTGACCTTTTCCTGAAAAGTATCCTTTAGCAAACGGAAGGACTCTGGGGCTGTAAATGGGGTCTGGTTCACAGGCTCACACTCCTGGGGTCTTCAGCCCCCGCTCTGGACCCAAGACCCAGGCTCCCAGCACTTGAGGGCTTCCTAAGGGTTCCCCTGCCCCCACCTGCTGGCTCCAGGGGCCAACCCTGCTTTCCCACTGATGGGATCAGTACTAGGCTGTGTGGCCTCAGGTTGGGCTAACCATCTATAGAGTCTGGGCGGGAGGTCAAGGGCTCCAGGGAGGTGGGTGTGTCCATATTCATAATCACCTGCCCTGCCTCACAAACAGCCCAACGTGGTAGCCTTTGCTCTTAAGAGTCCCACACGTCAGGCTCCTTAAGGGACAGAAGAATTCATATCCCAACAAAGAGGAGGCCGGGGGCGCAGTCCCCCCCTCCCTGGGGCTCAGTGTAATTGGATCTGACTTCTAGCCCCACCCCCCTTTTCTTTACACCCGTATTATGGACACAAACCTGCTACCTTTCTGTCCCCTGCTTCTTCACTGACCCACTCACCCACTCCATACATACCCATCACCCGTTAGGGGTCCGGGACTGCGCTGTGTTCAGCTGGGGCTCAAAAAAAGTATAAGACAAGACCCCAACCCACCCCTTCAGAGGCTTAGACGAAGGACCACTTCTACACACACACACAGACAGTACAGCTCCAAGAACAATGAAGGCGGGCCGGTGTGGGCGCCCCAAGAGATGCCTCTTTGGCATACCGATTATTTTTTGAACATGTATCTATTTTTGAGAGAGAGCAAGTGTGCGTGGGGGAGGGGCAGAGAGCGGGAGACAGAGGATCCCAAGCAGGCTCTGAGCTGTGAGCGCAGAGCCCAATGTGGGGCTTGAAACTCACGAACCCGTGAGATCACGACCTGAGCCGAAAGCAAGCATCGGCCGCTTAACCGACTGAGCCACCCAGGAGCCCCATAAGCAGCTTATTTTTTTTAAATTTTTTTTAACATTTATTTATTTTTGAGACAGAGAGAGAGAGAGAGAGAGAGAGAGCATGAACAGGGGAGGGTCAGAGAAAGAGGGAGACACAGAATCTGAAACAGGCTCCAAACTCTGAGACATCAGCACAGAGCCTGACGCAGGGCTCGAACCCATGGACCGCGAGATCATGACCTGAGCCGAAGTCGGACGCTTAACCCACTGAGCCACCCAGGCGCCCCATAAGACGGTTATTTTTAAGAAACTGCAGGCATATGAGAAGCTCCGAAAACCCCAGTGGAAGTTACCCTTTCATGGGAGACATTTACATGTATGAGGGAAATGTCCGCCTGTGAGGGTGTTTCGTAGCTGTACCAAAAGCGGGGGATGATTCAGTCTCCGGAAACTCTTACCGAGGCAGGTGAAGACGTCAATCTGCACAACCACCTTTCTGTTCCCTGTGCACCAAACAAAGTCCCCCTTCGGGACCTGGGATCTGGCCCCCCCACCAGCAGATTGAAGGCTCCTTGGCCAATCTTCCCGGCCTGGGATCGGGCATTTTCTCCAGAAGGGGAGTCCCAGGGAAGGCCCCTCGACTCCTGGGCAAGCAAAGCCCCTGGCCACGCCTGCCTCAGGCTCTGAATGTGTCCCAGCCCTGAACCCACTGGCCCCAGGCCCCGGGTTGCCAGGGGCCGGCGCCGACGGCCTACGGGCCTCTCAGCCCGGGGCGGGTGTCAGGCCAGCTCAGGCTTGGGTCACTGCTGGGCTAGGGAGCGAGCAGTGCATCCATCAGACAACACCAGGCCCGAGAGAAATCATGTTCTGAGCAACACTGGTGGCCGCCCACCCCCCCCCCCCGCCCCGTTTTGGGACGTGAGGACACTCACGATGTTCATGAGGGTGAGGACGTAGTTCTGCACGTGCTCCTTGCCATGGAAGCGCACCACGGAGTCATCCACCGCGAGCAGCACCTCGATGCTGTAGCTGCCCGCCTTGGCATGCCGCCGCTTCCGCTCCCCGTCGCCCAGCTGGTTGCCCACCAGGCCCAGCAGGTTGGGGAGGTCGCCCGGGCCAAAGGCTGCCAACCGGGATGGGAAGAGAGACAGAGGTCAGAGCCGAAGGAGAAGCTGTCGCCCAGAGGCTGCCCGCCAGCCCGCTGTGCCCCGTCACGTGTGCCCTCTTCCTGCCTCTGTAAGAAGCCGACTCAGCGTGAGGGTTCCTCCCACACCTGCCACCTCGGGGGCAAAAGCCCTTTTCCAGGAGCTAGGCCACGGCTGAGGCTTTGAGGCGAGGAACACGGAGAAGGGGGACCTCGCCTGGACTCGCAGGCCTAGGTCCCAGGTCCCACTCAGCCCTATCTTCCCCGCGTGACCCAGCCCTGCCCCTTCACTCCTCCCGTGACACAGGATGAGCCCTCCTTGATCTCTCACCCAGAAGGTTGCTGTAAAAATCAAACGTGGGGGGGCGTCTGGGTGACCCAGTCGGTTAAGTGTCCGACTTCGGCCCGGGTCATGATCTCGAGGTTCGTGAGTTGGAGCCCCGCATCGGGCTCTGTGCGGACAGCTCAGAGCCTGGGGCCTGCTTCGGGTTCTGCGTCTCCCTCTCTCTCCACCCCTCCCCTGCTCGTGCTCTGTCTCTCTCTCCGTCTCTCAAAAATAAGTAAACATTAAAAAAATTTTTTAAATCAAACAGGGCAGTAGGTGGGAACTTCTCAGTAAAGGAAAATAATCCTGGTGTTACTGTAGCCCATGCAGGGCATTTTAGGAACCCCTGGATATGTCCCCTCAAGTCCCTCTCTCCATCATCGCCAGCCCCCCAAAATTTCACCACCACTGCTTTGCCTTTCGGCAAAAAGCAAAAGATGCATTTAACTAGGAGCTATGAACTTATATAATCTAAGCGTTGTCATACTTTTCCTATAAAGGACCAGATAGTGAATATTTTACGCTTTATGGGTCCTACAGTCTCAGTCAGCTATTCAGTTTGGCATAAAAGTAGCCACAGATAATATCAAAGCAGACCAGTGTGTCTCTGTCCCAGTAAAACTTAATTTCCGGTGCTGGGTGGCTCAGTCGGTTAAGCATCCAACTCTTGATTTCGGCTCAGGCCATGATCTCAGGGTTTGTGAGTCCAAGCCCCAGGCAGGACTCTGTGCTGACAGTGGGGAGCCTGCCTGAGATTCTCTGTCCCCTTCTCTCTCTGACCCTCCCCCACACGTACCTGTGTGCATTCCCTCTCTCTCTCTCTCTCTGTCTCTCTCTCAAAATAAATAAACTTAAAAAAAAATTAATTTCCCATGGTGGGCCTTAGTTCGCTGACCTCCAGTCTAATCCAATCCAATCCAATTCTTACAACTCTCAGGTTACTGCCCCCAATATACAGGCAAACAAACTGAGGTCCAGAGTAGCTTGTCCAGGTCTGTCTGAATCAAGACACCAGGCTTTGAAGTGTCACCATCGGTGCTGCTACTTAAAAAGGTAGCACCTTAAGTCGTTATCAGTCATTTGCACCATAGTCTGAATAAACTGCAGCAACATTTGTTGGGGCGGTGGAGTTAAGGGTTCATGAGGACCCGGTGGGAAAAGCCAATGAAGGGGAGCAGAATTTGCCACCCCAAAATACGTCTCTGTGGTGTGAGGATTATTTCAGGCTGATTATTCTTAAGAAACAGCAGACACGGGAAAAGCTCTGGAAATTGAGAAGTGACCCTTTAAGGGAAATCTCCATTCGTAAGGGGGTCTCCCACCCTGCACCAGGAAGAAGGATGACTCTAAATCTCTGGAAACTCTTTATCAAAAGAGAGGGAAATGACTTAAACCCACATAACAACCTTGCCCCTGTTTGCTGTGTTTTCCTGGTAACCTCCCATCAACTCACCGCTCCTTCCCACCCACCAACGTTTTCTTTTGTCTTTAGCTGATGTTAGGTGGTGGCTTGGACCATTTGGGGGAGTTACTCAATTTTCCTGAGTCTCTCCCACATACACAGAAGGTATCCATGTAATTAAACTTCTGATTGCTGGGGCGCCTGGGTGGCGCAGTCGGTTAAGCGTCCGACTTCAGCCAGGTCACGATCTCGCGGTCCGTGAGTTCGAGCCCCGCGTCGGGCTCTGGGCTGATGGCTCAGAGCCTGGAGCCTGTTTCCGATTCTGTGTCTCCCTCTCTCTCTGCCCCTCCCCCGTTCATGCTCTGTCTCTCTCTGTCCCAAAAATAAATAAACGTTGAAAAAAAAAAAAAAAAAACTTCTGATTGCTTTATCTTTGTTAATCTGTCTTTTATTACAGGGTGCCTCAGCCAGAACCTAGAAGGGTAAAGGGAAAATTCTTTTTCCTCCCCCACACTAAGAAAGTCAGATAAGAGGCTGGGGTCTCTTGAGAAGACTCCAAAGCCTTAACATTTCATGATTCCCCTCCATTCTACCCTGAAGTTCTGACACTTGTACCATTAACTTTTCTTTTCTTTTCTTTTCTTTTCTTTTGAGAGAGAGAGAGAGTGAGTGGTGCAGTGGGGGAGAGGGAGAATCCCAAGCAGGCTCCTCCCTGTCAGTGTGGCTCAAACTCACGAACCATGAGATCATGACCTCAGCCAAAACCAAGAGGTGGATGCTTAACCAACTGAGCCACCCAGGTGCCCCATACCATTAATTTCTGAGAATATCCAGTTATGCGAGAACCCTCCAGAGAGTGGGACAGGAACTAAGGATAGGAAAATGCCACCAATACGTCCCCAGCATGTGTCAAGGGGAATGACTGCAGGAGGGGCCTCATACTTACTTGGTGGGTGGATGGTAGGTGAGTGGGAAAGGTGGGAGCCCCGCCCTTGAACCCACTGCCTCCCCTGGGTGACAGAGAAAGAACCAGATGGTAACAGTACAGTGACTTCAAGGCCTACAGGAGAACTGACGAGGGAAGGCTTCCACACCAAGACCCAAACCAGGACTGGGGGGTTGACAGAGGCTTCTGGAGGAGGGGACACCTAAGCTGGGCCAGACGGGGAGCGGGAGACAACCTGTTGGAACACGGGGAACAGAGGGTCCCCAGCAGCGGGAACTGTATTAGCAAAACCCACTGCGAGCAAGTGTGGGGTGAAACCATCCACAATATGCGTGACCCTTGGGGACGATTCAACAGGTACCTTGGCAGAGACCCAAGATCTGCCTCTAAGCCTCTATCGATATGGATACTTCAGGAACTGAAATCTGAGGACAGGGCAACAGGGAACCACGGGACCCTGCTATGGTTTCTTTTTCTCTTCCCTTTGGTTTGGGGCTCTCAAGTGCAAAGGAAGGAAAGCACTAGACTGAAGGGCTGGAAAAGCGTGTGCGCACTGGCTGAGTGGAGAAACCAGAAACGCGCGGCCAGCCCTCCGAGTGATGCACAGCCTGGGGAGCCGGGCTCGGGCCGGTGTTGCCCTCACTAGGCCTGACACAAGCACTCCCGGCGGCCTGGTGCCTGAGCCCAATGGTGAGTACAGAGCCCAGAGGCAAATGCCTGGGACAGGGGAAGGAGACCCCCCAGGAGGGGAGGAGAAGGAGCAAGCGCTCTCTCCACGGAGCAGGGAGACTAAATAGCGGCCACTCCCAACATGTGAGCAGTGCCCACAGGTTGACAGGCTGCAAGTGAAAGGTGGACGTGACCCCTCACGGCTCTCCCAGCCACAGGCCTGTCAAAGGGAGGCTCAGGGAGGTCACCTGACTCATCCCAGGTCACACAGAAAGTTAATGGCAGAAGCCCAGAATGGAAACCCAGGGCTCCCACCCTCACGTGATCACACCCTATCAGGGCCCGCCCGGATTTCCCCCTCAGCAATAACAGTGAGGAGCACTGGGCAGGGCCTACTGACGTCAACCATAGGCCCTGGAGAGGTGCCCCCCACACCCTCTTCTGTCTCTCAGGCCAGAAACAGGTAACCTTCCAAGAGGGGAGGGTGGGGGGGGCAGGCCCCCGGGGGGTTTTTCCAGAAGCCCACCCAAGACGCCCCACGAGAATGTGAAATGGTGCAGCCGCTCTTGCAAAGCAGTTTGGCAGTTCCCCAAAAGACAGATACGGCGTTTCCACAGGACCCAGCAACTCCACTCCCAGTTACATACCCAAGGGAACTGAAAACGTACATCCACACAACAACTCGTCCGTGAACGTTCACAGCGGCGTTATCCTAATAACCGAAAACCGGAAACGACCCACGCCGACCCAGAGGCGAAGGGATAAACAAACTGTGGTGTATTCGTGCAGTGGAAGACCACCCTGCCACCAGGAGGGGTGAAGTAATGCCACGAGCCACACGCGGCTGAACCTCACACGCGGGGCGAGAGAAGCCAGTCCCAGAAGGCCTGCGTGATGCCGTTTACGTGAGCCGTCCTGAGGCACATCCATAGAGGCAGAAGGTAGGCTGGCGGTCGCCAGGGGGGTTGGAGAGGGGGAAAAGGGGAGTGGCTGCTAATCAATGGGCCACAGGGCTTTCTATGGGAGCGACAGAAACATTCTGGAATCAGATAGTGGTGATGGGTGCACAACACTGTAACCATAGTAAAAATCCACTGAAATGTATACTTGAAAATGATATAAATGATGGCTTTTATCTCAAGTTAAAACAACAAAAAAAGAGGGGGCACCTGGGTGGCTCAGTCGGTTAGCATCTGATTCTTGACTTCGGCTCAGGTCATGATCTCGTAGTTTGTGAGTTCGAACCCCATGTTCACGCTGATATCACAGAGCTGGCTTGGGATTCTGTCTCCCTCTCTGTCTTCCCCTCCCCCACTCACTCCCTGTCTCTCTCTCAAAGTAAATAAACTTAAAAAAAAAAAAAACAAACGCTGGGGCGCCTGGGTGGTTCAGTCGGTTGAGCGTCCGACTTCGGATCAGGTCATGATGTCATGGTTTGTGGGTTCAAGCCCCACATCAGGCTCTGTGCTGACAGCTCAGAGCCTGGAGCCTGCTTTGGATTTTGTGTCTCTCTCTCCGCAACTCCCCCACTCGCGCTGTCTCTCAAAAAATGAATAAACGTTTAAAAAAAATTAAAATAAAGAAAAACAAAACAAAACAAAAGCAGCAGCACTAGCCCCAAGCCCCAGCCTGGCAGGCTTCCCCTGAAAGGATGGGCCGCCCTGCTGTCCGATGCCTGCCCCCCCCCTCCCTTGCCACAGAGCTGGAACTTTGGCCACAGGTGCACATGGCCCCGAGGCAGACTGTTCCCTCCTCGGGCAGGACCTGTAGGGTGGTAAGGGGTTATTGAGAGCGGGACCATGGGTTGAGGAGGGAAAGGGCAGCATTAGGAGCACAGCAGCATCCAGGACACAGCCCCTGAGGCCCAGGCAGTGTCCATGGGGGAGTCTCTGAGGGGTTGGGTGGGGACCAGCTAGACCTGGAGATCCAGCCAAGGGAATTTCTACCTCCAGACTCTGAAGTTTAGTGTGCCCCCAAGTTCATTGGCAAATGTCAGATACTTCTCCAGTGGAGCCCAGGTGCCTGAAGCCCTTCCACAGGCCACAGCTCAGCTCGAAAACCAATCTGATGGGTCTTCTGACACCTCCTCTCCTCCCTTGAGGAAAGCCAGACATATCCTGGGGAGTAGCAGAGCTCACGTGAAGGAACAAAGACTCGGTATCTGTCCTCCAGGAACTGCCTCCCCCCAACCCCCCAGCCTATTTGGGACAAGAAGAAGTCCTGGGAGAAATCCGGAGCGCTCGAGGGTCCAAGAGAGGGGACACCTGAGCTGGGCTGACACTTGGGCAGCATGGAGGCAGACAGAGGTGGAGGAAGGTGCTTGGCCTGAGGCAGACTTCTCAAAAGCCCACTTGCTGGCAGCTAAGCAGGTTCCGACCGGCTGGCCTAGGCCTCTGAGGCATTGCTCTGTGCCAAGAAGTATACCCACCCCTGAAGTGAAACCTTCTGTCCTGATCACGAATGATAAACGGCGACAGACACACCTAGAAATGCTAACCTACTCACCGGGCTCAGACACACCGCTGGTCTTGAAAGAACAGTGAGTGAGTGTCCCAGGTTTCCAAAACGCCCTCCATTGCCACCTGTCTTTCTAAGGAAAGACACGCATGGGCCTGAGGCATGGCATCACCCATGGGCCCATGACGTTCAGCTGAGAAGCCTGATGACGCAAGCCCCGGCAGCCTTCCTGGGCCTGAACGCCAACTCCGTGAGCGCAGCGGTTTGAGTTTCCCTGCCACTGACCGTGGCGGCAGGCAGTGTGGCTGGTTCCAGGCCCATGGCCATGGAGCAGCACTTCTCCAGGGTCTCCCCAAAAGGGGAGATTTATGCTTTTTGATTCAGAGCTGGCCTCAGATAAAGTGGAGCCCAGTGAGACTTGTCCTTCTTCCCAGCTACAGTAGAAGGCACGGTGCCGTCCCACTCTGCCCTTGAGATTCACCCCAGCCCCCCCCCCCCCCCCCCGAGACTCCACCAAGTCCCTGCCCCCCGCTCCCGTGCCCCCACCCCAGGCCTGCAGAGCCCTCCACCACTCAGCTCAGCCTCTGGTGCCGTGGCTTCTCTCAAGAGGGGCACCGGGAGAGCAGCTGGTACTTCAAAGGAGGTAGTGTATGTGGGGACAACTGGTTTCCACGCATTCCTTCACGCTATGCCCAACCCCACCGGGGCCCTGGCAGGAGGGGGTGGTCCACTCACGGCCAGATTCCACCCAAAGCCTTCTCACGTCCTCCTGGCCAAAGGGGGCTTTGGGACAAAACTAAGTTGGACAATGAAGCTGGCCATGGGCCCAAGACTAGCACGCGTAGCATCCACTGGTTCATTCACGCAAGCATGGGCCCCGAGTACTGGTGGTATGCGGGCTCCTGTGCCGACAGCCAGGGTGCCAGGACACCCCTGCTCTCAGGGGCTCTCACCCTAACGTGTCACTGGTTACCCTAAGAACAATACTGTAGTAAGAACAATCGTTCACCAAACACCTGCTGCGTGCCAAGCTCCATGATGGAATTTTTATACCCACTATCGCTAATACACCCAATCTTAAGAGATCAATAATAACCATCCCTACTCTACAGATTAGAAAAATAGGTTCAGAGATTTTAGTCAATTGGTTAGGGTCTCACAGCAGACAGTGTTGGAGGCAGGATTTAAAAATGCTCTGTTGGGGGGGGGGTCCATGGGTGGTGGTTCAGTTGGTTGGGTGACTGACTTCAGCTCGGGTCATTATCTCATGGTTCGTGGGTTCGAGCCCCGCATCGGGCTCTGTGCTGACGGCTCGGAGCCTGGAGCCTGCTTCGGATTCTGTGTCTCCCTCTCTCTCTGCCCCTCCCCTGCTCTCTCTCTCTTTCTCTCAAAAATAAACATTTGGAGAAAAAATGGTCTCCTGGGGGCACCTGGGTGGCTCAGTCAGTCGAGCATCCGACTCTTGACTTCGGCTCAGGCCATGATCTCACGGTCGTGAGACTGATCCACGCATAGGACGCCACACTGACAGCATGGAGCCTGCTTGGGATTCTCTCTCTCCCTCTCTCTCTGCCCCTCCCCTGCTCATGCAAGCGCCCTCTCTCTCTCCCTCTCTCTCTCTCAAAAAAAAAAAATAAAATAAATAAAATAAAAATAAAAATGGGCTCTGGGACACAAACCTACCTCTGGTGCCCTGATACCTGGAAGTCTCCCTACAAACGCCCTAAGAACTTCCTTAAGCTTCCTTAAGCCCTAAGTGGCTTCCTAAGCCACTTCCTGTGGCTCCCACGGGCTGAGTGAATTTTTAGGGGGAAGAGCTAACTGCAACCATTGCACCTTCTGCTGGGCAGGGAAGACAGCCTTCCAAAGCAATGTGGAGCCCCTCAGAGACCTCCGGAGTCCCTAGGGCCACAGTTCAGGGGGGCTCGAGCAGCTCACCCGCCAGCTGTAATGGTCCCTAAGCCCCACTGGGGTTTCTCGGCTGGTATACACGGTCCAGTCCCACCTCGCGGAGGAGAAGACTGAGGCCCGGACTTGACCGCGCGCGGGACGTGGCGGAGGCGGAGCTCAGGGACCCGCCCAGTGCCTACCTTCATTGTGAAGGTCCCCTCCAGGCTCCGCCCACTCCTGCTGGCCGACTTCCCGGCGGTACACCACGTGTGTCCTCCCGCTGGCCTCCTTCTCCTGCTGCCCCCACTCCAGGGGCTCTATGAAGTAGTCGGTGCTATCGGTGCGGATGAGGCCCGCCTGAGCCGGGCAACGCAGCAAGAGGGAGCAGAGAGGGGGGAGAGAGAAGAGGCGTGAGTACACAGCCCGGGACAGGCGAGCATCTGTGACCGCGAACGTGTATGACTACACGGGTGCGGACCCTTCCTCGAGGGCCTCGGGGAGCCCTGGGATTCCAGCAGGGACGTGCGCGGGCGGGTGGTCGGACGCCGAGCAAGGGGGCCCAGGTCCATTTCGGGCAAAGCGGATCCGCTTGTACTGTGTTGTGGGGCGCTCCTGGGGTTCCACCTAACGTTTCATTTCACCAAAGGCCTCCAGAGCTTAAAGGGGGTAGGGGGAGGCAGGAAAGGCATTGCGATACATACGCACACACACTGCCTCGGGCACAGAATTCCACCCCAAAGCGCCATCACACAGATTGGCCTTTAACACCCCCCCCGCCCCCCGCCCCGGACAAGGCGGGGAGATTCCTACCTGTAAAGGTTAATGATCCTGCACATGGGTGCCTGTTCCCACTCCCACACAGCGTGCTATTATGTCAGCTTTAAAGCACGTGGGCACGTCCACCAGGGACGCAGTTCATGTCTGCTGACCATAAACGAGCCAGGATAGGGCACAGGAATAAATGCTCTGTTTTTAATCTAATTTTTTTTTTTTTTTGCCTGCGTCAAAATAGTCCTGTAAAAATAATCAGCTGTTGGCCTGGGAAACAAAAACATTAAAAATGCAACCTTGGCCAAGCCCCACAAATGTGTTATTAGATGAAGGCAATAATCACAGGGGCCAATGAAACACGTGTGCAGCCCCCCCAGCCCACACCCTGGGGTCAGCTCTATAGAGCAGCAGACCAGCGCACCTACTACAGTGCCTGGAAAATAGTAGGCAATCCTTAATGAATTCCTTCACTCATTCCACACGTATCTATTGAGTGCCTTCTACATACCAGCAGTGCTCCAGACCCCGGGAAGGCAGCTGTGAACACAAGGTGGTGAACGAAGGAACTATTTTTATAAATCTATCAGACGTTCTCCACTTGAGCAGGAGCAGCCATGCTTCTATGCAACTAAACTCCACCAGCTTTCCCACCTCCCCCTGTTCCGAGATGGCTTCTTGGGGTATCTCCTCGAAGATCTCCTGAGCACGAGTCAGCAGCCACTAATCCTCTCCTGCCAAAGCTACTGCAGCCCCTCGAAATCTGGCATCCCCTGCCCTGTGTGGCCCCCAGATCTCAGTGCCTCACACGAGGGATGCAGGCTCCAGAATGATCTGCAAGGCACAGGGCTGGGCTGCGAGGCACTACCATCCAATTCGCCCCTCCTGACCACAATGATGGACCGCACAGACCTTTCAAGTTCACCAGGCCTGACCCAGTCTGAGGCTTCAATCCCTCAACAACATCCCTAGTCAGGGGGCTCTTAACTTTTGCTTGGATGCCTCTAGCAACAGAGAGCTCTCTCCCTCAAGACACAACCTGTTCTGTGCAGGGACAGTGGTGACGTTTAGTGAGCTGAAACACACTTCCCTACATTCCACCCTTTGCAAAGTCTTATTCTCCCTGGGATTAACAACAGTATCTTATATAACAGCCACTTATATTGACATATTTCACCTTTACAACAACCTTGTAAGGCAGATGCAAATATTAGACCCATTTCATGGATGAGGAAACAGGCTCAGAATGGTTAAGAAACTTGCCCAGTCACCCAGCAAGTAAGCGACAGAACTAGAATAAGAGCCCAGCTCCGTGTGGCTCTTAACCAGGAGGCTCTGTTACCTTAGGCCATCCCAGGGCCCCACTTCTGCCCCCCCCCCCGGGGGCCACTCAGCAAGGAAACTTCCCTCCCATACTCCCATCTATACGTCCCTGGGCTTCCCATCTAGTCTGAGCTTACAGAGCAAGCAGGATGTTCACATCCTACCTCTGGGCAGAGGGCTTCCCGGAAGCCAGGCCACCTCCCACGTGGATGTGAGAACAGAGGAGAAACTTCTGCACACGGCCCTAAAGGGAACGGACCCCACCATCCCCCAGGCGACTCCCAGCCTGAAAGGATTCTCACCCCACACACCATCCCCATCACACCCTCAGCCCTGCTCTGTCAGAAGTGGAAGCCCCAGGATTCCTGGGTCTGGTCCGGCCCCATGCCCACAGTCCTCTCCCCAGGCAAGAGTTACCAAACCCCTACCTGCCCATCCTGGCTAACTGGTAAGGACAAAGACCTGTGATATAACAACCTGGGAAATACGTTTCAAATCCCTCTGTGACTATGGGTCCCACCAAACCCCAGGGGTCAAAGACAGCACTTGCAGCAACGCTCCTGCTCCGTTTTGTGCATCGTTTCTGGCCCTGACAGAGAGTTCTTGCCCCAGATGGGGTGCCCTGTGGGTCTCTGAGAGCCTCCTCCTGGAGAGCGATAGGCGGGCAGGCTCAGCCGTCAGATCAGGAAGTGGGCTGGGCAGGTCCCTCCCCCGTGGCCCTCAGTTTCCCCATCCACACCATGAGAGGTTTGGCGGGCTGTCTTCAGCTCTGCCTTGGCCGGGAAACCAGGCACCGCTTGGGGCAGACAAATTGGCAACGGGAACCTTCTGGCTCTCTGCCCCCTTGCCAAATTACTCCTGTCTCTCAATTTATGAGATGTTTGTATTTCTGAAAAGTGGTGGCTAATTTTAAAGAACTACAATCAAATCAAATTTCTGTAGAAGAAATCAAGAAAAGAGGAAAACATATGTTGCTGGAAGACAAAAATACATTGCCGTTTCACCCATACCTCCTTCTCTTCAAAACAGTAAGCTGGCAGAAATATATATTAGAAAGGTTCTTCATGCAACACAAACAGTTGATTATGTCCAACTGAGCCACATTCTATGCAGGCCCTCAGGCGATTCTCTCCAAATGGAAACTCTCCAGTGCACAGGCCTGGCCGCCATCAGCCAGGCTCTGGACTCCTTTACTACAGCTGCTACTGAGGGGCCTCTCCTGGGAGGTGAGTGGCGGAGGGGGACCTGTTGGACGTTTCCAGGATGGCTGGTGACGTCATTTTAGGGGCAAAGGCAGTGCCTTCTGCCGTATCTTCATCCAGAGGCCTCCAGGCCATGCTATCCCAGATTTTTTAGGCCTGCTTCCTTTCAGGGGAAGCCCCAGGTCCAGAGGGGAAGTCCAGGGCTCCTGAAGGAGACGGGTCACGTGGTGATGGGGGAGGTAGGTGTTGGCGTACCCTTGTATCCTGCCTTAGGTCATAATTGAGCAAGTTCAGTTGCTCATTGGTAACCGCCTATCATCGGGATGAAGTCCCAAATATTTCAGCAGATAACGGAAGCCGCGTTATTTTAGAATGAGTATGTGTATGTACGTGTGTATATATAAACGTGTTTATTCTAAAATCGCATGTACTTGCACGTAAACTGGGAGGTGACGGTACAATAAACCAATACATCTTGGGGGCCACGGGAAGAGACCCCGAAAGACGGAAATATGTGTCCTTGGAGGTGCCGAGCTCCAGGCTTATATTGAGAAGCTCTCCCGTCAACGTCAGGTCAGGAGCAAGGACCCAGCCTGAGGTCCAGGCACGGGTAAGTGGGGGAACTCCAGGAGGCCAGCTGCAGGCCCTCCCTCTAGGAAAGGGGAGCCTTTCCTCACAAGGAAGAGCCTTTCCTAGTCATCCAGAGCCTCCTGGCTGTGCCCTCAGATTTGCCAACCTTCGCAGAATGCCCAGGAGGGCTTATTTCAAGATGAGAGCCCCGACAAAGCCGGGTGAGAGGTATGCCAGGTCCCCTCTTTCTTCTCCTTCCAAGGTCAGCCTATGTGGGGCCTTCCCACAGGAGCAAGAAACAGAGCAGGCCTCCAACCAACCAGCCCACCACCTCCCAAGGAGAGCACGTTCTCGGGCCCAAACTCGTTCTGGAAATTCCATTACCAAGGTTTTTTTACTGCCAGCTGTGCTGTCTCAGGTCCTAGGCTTCCAGCAAATACAGCTTGAAACTGTTCCACTGTAGGATATGAAAGAAGGCCCAGCAAGTGGAGGCTGGGGTGATACACACAACTGGGAGCAGCAAGAGAGGCCGGAATGGCTTCCCTCAGGCTCACCCCCCACCCAGCAACCTGCTTCTGTGCCCGGCCACGCTCCCTCCCCAGACCACGGCACCAGCTAGAGCTCAGAAACCCCAACTGCAGGTGTCTGCCTCCCGCCCACCACCCCCAGGAGGACTTCTTTCAAGATGACAGCCCGACGATCCACTGGGTCCCCTCTCACCGAGCTCATCACGACCTCCAGTGCGTGGCCCCGCTGCTTCATCACGGCCGATACCCCCGACCACGCCCTCACTTCCCTTCTTACCACCCTGGACACGGTAATAATTCTGTGAACGCCCACAGCTCTCTCCCTGCCTTTCCCTCCTTCTCACCGTCTCAGAAGAGCCTCTGCCCTGGTTCAACCCAACCAGCCACCCTCTCCCTGTCTGCACACTGACGCACGTGGTGCCCACTGGTCTCACTTGAGATCAACGGCCACAGCTCTCCCATGAGCATGATGCCGGCTGGGGATTCTGCTGTGGCTCCCCGCTACACTGATGGCTTAGACTTCGAACACTTCCCACCTCCTGGTCTCCTGTTCTCAAGGAGAAAACAGGCACCGTCGGGCGGGCTCTCCCCTACCCTGCCACCACCCTATGAACTCCCACCCTGTGGGCACCCTGTGCCCTTCCTCACCTCCTGCTCGCCTCCCTCTTACCTCTGCAGAATGCAGCTCCCGCAGTGGGTGCCCCTCTTCCCAGTATCACCGTGCCCACCCTCTCCTGCGCCATTCTGGTTGGCACACAGATGCGCTCAGGGACCTTCCCCTCTGTGAAACTCCCTCCCGGGCCCCGGCCAGCCAGTGCCAGAGTCCCTGCTTCCCTCCGCACTGCGCACGACTGGGCCGACTGGGCCTGTGAAGTGATGCAGCCACTTTGGAAACAGTCTACGGTTCCACAAAACACTACACAGTTACCATATGACCCCGCAATTCCACTCCTTGGCATACACCCAA